GAACTTACTGCTCTTTAGAAGAGGCACATAATTCACTATAATATTTGATTTTAGGTTCAGTACCGCTGGTTCTTAATGTTATAATCGAACCATTTTTAAATGTAAATGTTATCATTTGACTAGATTGTGAAACAGGTAAAACCGCCTTATTTTCTGGTTTTGTATTGTCGTAACCAGTTGTCAGATCACGAATGCCTACTATAGAATACTTTCCATTGAGGATACTTGATGGATACTGAAAATATTTAAAGTTGAAGTAATATGAGTGGTATTTTATACATACACATTTCTTACCGTATTTGGTTCACCAAAGTATGTTCGTAACCTTTCAAATATTTTCTTAATTACATCTGGTTCATGACAAATACAATATGAATTCTTAGAAATATGATATCCATATCTAAACCAAATATGTACATTTCTTTAATAAACATATTTAAAGCATAAGATTATGAATTATAAAAACAATATTATACATTTTAATCTAGATAAATATTTCAAATATGAAATGTGATATAACATACTGAGTATATATTTCGTTTAACTTTTCATGAAGAGTGAGTCCCATAGTTTCAAGATAGGCTGCCAATTCTGCTAAATGCATTCCAGCATTTATACCATCTTTATCAAGAACTTTTGAACCACACATGAAGCCAATAGCTTCTTCATATGCAAATAAAACTTCTTTACCTGCACTTTTTAATTCTATAGTTCTATTACCCATCCATTTGAAACCTGTTAATGTTTCCTTTGGAAACAAAAAGAATTACACAATAATATAAGGTAGCAGAAATAATTCAACTTCATTTAATGCTTACATACCTCAAAATTAAATCCTTCTTGTTTAGCCATTGATGCTAAAATTTTACTAGAAACTGTTGATGTCAACATATATACACTTGAAAAATCTGTATCAGCATGTTGTACTTGATATTTATGCATCATCCACCATCCTAAGAGTGCTCCTAACTCATTACCAGAGAAAATATACCATTCATCACTATAACAGAAATATAAGGATTTATTAAAATCAATACATAAGTGCATATACTTAATAAAGTTTTCAAATACATACTTTTTTAGTTTTGTAGCACAAGCTAATCTATCTGCATCAGGATCATTAGCAAGAATAATTGAAGAAGAATTTTTATTTGCTACTTGTATGCTAAGATCAAGAGCACTTTTTCCTTCTTCAGGATTTGGAAATTCAACAGTTGGAAATTCTGGATCAGGCAACATTTGTTCTTCAACTACTATAAATGGCTGTAAAATATTTAAATAAAATTTAATTAAATAATTCA